CTTAGGGTGAGAAGACAGTCGAGCCGGGATGGCTGCTTTACCCGCTAGGCTATCATATACAAAGAGAAGCGAGGTAGCAAAGCAACTGTGACTTGCATCTTCTTGGACCCTGTTTCAAGAGAAGACCTCGGTTCTTTGACAGGAGGCTGTTGGTGCCCAACTTTAGGAGAGGATCTCAGACGGTGGACCCTGCCTTCAGTAAAGTCCTGGATGTGTATGCAGTTTTGGGCACGTGCCAGTATTAGCCTTTCCTGTTAGGTAGTTCGAGGTGGCTCTCCGCTGGCATAGGCCAGTTCAAGGGGCTGGCTTTTACCGAAACGCTGCAGGGGGTTTGTGCACCTAAAGCTGCGTTCTTGTTTCACTCTGGCCAGGCACCTGATTTCCTCAAGGCCTTTGATGGATCCTGCCCTCTGAGTGTAGTTTGGGTCCCCAGCTGCTACTGGATTTAACAATCAAAATAAGATGGCTTTCTAGCGAGCTTCACGGGAGTTTCCTGTGCATTCCTGATCACTTTTGAAACTCATACAGCAGCATTTGACATGAACTAGCTAACATTTTCCCATACCTGGTGAGGTTTTAATTAATGGCATGTTACAACAGAGTTAAGGGTGGAGCATGAGGGTGGTGTGGTTGGTGGGGGGACTGGCTGGATGTCTTCCTCTCCATTTGAAAGTCTTTTTAATGTTTTAATTCCTATCATGTGTTGTTACATATACATTCTGACAGATGCTCCCACAACTGCATCAATTTATGCTGTTACCACTCCTCCGCCACCTAGTTTGTAGACCCATGGGGTGCCCTCCTGAGGTCCCTTCCAGCCTTGCTTTTCTATGATTCTGTAACTGGTGACTCGCCTGTCTCCTGAGAAGTCTGAAGAGGTGTAGCTAAGATGGCAGCCTCTGAGATTGTGGTTCCAGGCTCAGTTTATTCAGCAATTTCTAAAACAAAATGCTGAGATTAATGGCAAAGGGGACTGTTGTTTTGTGTGAGGTTTTTTAAAAAACATATTTTCTCTTCTGCTGGACATTTAGAAAATCCCTCTTTTCACTTCGAAACAAAATTAGTCTAGACTTTCTGCATTTCCAGTAGAATGGAAATGTTTAACATTTGACCAGCTCCATATGCCACCCACTCCTAAGGCAAGTCATAGGACCTACCATCACTCCATTGAGCCTTTGTTCTGATCCGGGAAGACATCCTGATCAGACTGGAACAGGGATAGGGAAGCAGACACCATCATCACCTCTGTAAAGTTTGGGTTTGGACTGATGAGCCCAGACAATCAGATCTTTACCCCCAGTGCTTGCACCTGGCTAAAGCCCATCTTGGGAGGGTGTTGGCTTCCTGTGGCAGGAGAAACAGATCTGTAGTTGCTCCCTGAAAGGTAAGATAGACAAAAAGTAAATTTACTTCTCCATAAGAGGAACTTAGCTGGCCTGAAGCCCCCATTGCACATGCAGCATCTCTTGACTGTTTCCAAGGATCTCAGCTAGCTTAGAGACTGGGCAGAATGAGCCAGTCTAACCTCACCAGTCACTATCAGGGAGAGAGGAGAGGGGGGAAGAGGGGAGGGAAGCAGACTAGCCTCGGAACAGGAAGAGGAAGGGAGGAGGGATTTTCACCCACTTTAGGGCCTTAGAAAGCCCCCCAGAAACTCCCACGGCTCAGTCTGCCTGCCCTGGTGGGGGCAGAGGAGGCTGGGAGCAGGGGATGCAGCCACCCCTGCCATGTGGGTTGCTGCTCCCACACCCCACTTTGGGAAACCCTGGATCCGCCCATGTGTTTTTCGCAAGTGGGTTTGGTGTGCTGACAATATTTGCAAGAAGGTGCTTTTGGCTAACCTTAGGAATGGCGATGGGGCAGAAGGGGTATGCTCTGCCTATTCATAGATTCATAGATGTTAGGGTCGGAAGGGACCTCAATAGATGATCGAGTCCAACCCCCTGCATAGGTGGAGCCCGTTCAAGACCTTGCCCACTCTAACTGTGAAGAAGTTCTTCTTAATGTCCAGTCTAAATCTGCACTCTACTAGCTTGTGGCCATTATTTCTTGTAACCCCCAGGGGCGCCTTGGTGAATAAAACCTCACCAATTCCCTTCTGTGCCCCCGTGATGAACTTATAGGCAGCCACAAGGTCACCTCTCAACCTTCTCTTGCGGAAGCTGAAGAGGTCCAGGTGCCCCAGTCTCTCCTCATAGGGCTTGGTCTGCAAGCCCTTAACCATACGAGTGGCCCTTCTCTGGACCCTCTCCAGGTTATCCGCATCCCTCTTGAAGTGCGGTGCCCAGAATTGCACGCAGTACTCCAACTGCGGTCTGACCAGCGCCCGATAGAGGGGAAGTATCACCTCTTTGGATCTATTCGTCATGCATCTGGTGATGCACGATAAAGTGCCATTGGCTTTTCTGATGGCTTTGTCACACTGCCGACACATGTTCATCTTGGAGTCCACTAGGATTCCAAGATCCCTTTCCGCTTCCATTCCACTAAGCAGGTCATTTCCTAGGCAGTAGGTGTGCTGGACATTTTTCCTCCCTAGGTGCAGCACTTTGCATTTCTCCTTGTTGAACTGCATTCTGTTGTTTTCTGCCCACTTGTCCAACCTGTCCAGGTCTGCTTGCAGCTGTTCCCTGCCCTCCGGCATGTCCACTTCTCCCCATAGCTTTGTGTCAGCTATGTCCTTCTCCTGCCTCTCAGATGACCTCTTCTGATCCTTTCTGAAAACTGCTGTACTCTCAGGTAGTGAGGAGAGGGCTCTGAGGCAAGCTATGACTTGGCTTGTGCGACAGATGAGGACTCTGGTGATGAGGGATGTGTCACCAGCATACCCTACAGTGAACTGCCTGTTGCATTCGATTATTCATTGGACATCACTGTTTCAGGCAGCCATAGACTCCATCCTCTGCACATCTGACTCATCTAAAAGTGTGAAAAAATTACTACTTCTGTGTGAAAGGGGCTTGGGGTGGTTTTATTCCTCCAGAATGAGTGTCAGTTATGTCAAGGATCGATGTAAAGAGCCCTGGTGAGCCTTCACGGAGAACCGGAAATGAAGATGATTCAGTAAAGCAGAAAGTCTAATGAGGCACACAGGTTACCAGGCTGATTCACTGAGGATGAAGGAGGGGAACCAAGGAGACAGGAAGGGATTTCAAGCTGGAAGGGTTGTCATGATCTGATCTAGTCTCTCTGTAAACAATAAAATACAAATACAGCTTCAGAGGATTTTGAAAATTGTAGTAGTTCTCAAGATTTAGGTCCACAGTATTATGCGGCAATCGAAGAATTTTCTCACTCGGAGGGTAGTAACACACTGGAACTGGTTACCCAGAGAGGGGGTGGAAGCTCCATCCTTGGAGGCTTTCAAGACCTGGCTAGACAAAGCCTTGGCTAGGATGATCTAGTTGGGGCTGGTCCTGTGTTGAGCAGGTTATTGGATTAGATGTGACCTCCTGAGGTCCCTTCCAGCCCTCAGTTTCTATGATTCTATGATGCTGTGCCCCACGGATGAATAACATGGTTGTACTTTTCTCCAGCCTCAAATTTATTTCTGATATTCCACTTTTCTTCACCTCTTAGCACCTGGCAAAGAGTGAAAAACATTCAGCATCACAGAATGATTAAATGATTGAAAAGGTCTAAACAGGACATTGTTATCAATGGAGTAAGAATGATAATGATGACAACCAGCAGTGCACAACCCTCGGCCTGTGGTGCCGTGTCATCCGGCTTGCGGGGCTTTCCACAGGTTAGAAATTTGGCAGCAGGGAGCAGTGGCACCGCTCTCCTGCTGCCAGATTTTCAGACCCGTGGGGAGCCCTGAGCCCTGCATACTGGACAGGATGCTGGATCCTGGCACACAGGACCGGATGAGGGTGTCATTGGGCCAATTGCAGCATGCAGGGGCAGGAGGGGGTGGTGCCAGGCCTCAGGGCCCAATCCTAGCATACAGGGAATGGGAGGGGGTGGTGCTGGGACCTAGGGCCCAATCTGGCCCACAGACTGGCCCCATGCCTCTGATCTAGCTCACAGGGCAAAAAGGTTGAGCACCACTGATGGTGATGAGGGAGGACATATTTCTCTTTTTTATGAAGTAACATAATAAAGAAAATACCATATATCCTCACGTGCCACACTTACCTTTTTCCCCAAAAATAGCTTTCCAAAATTGGATGCATCTGAAGCTGAGATGGTGATTTCTCTGCCCAAAATAAAAACCTGAGGAGGCTGTATGATGGCAGCTGCTTCTTTTCTTACTCTTCTCTCTAGCAGCTGCGAGGAGGGAAGGATGGATGCCAGGAGAGGCAAATCTGGTGGGGGTGGGATTTGCATCCTGCTGTGATTGCTGCTCTACCCACATTTAAAACCAATGGCCTAGCAGCATCACTGGCACTTCTACTCAGGCAGTGCTGCTGGAGTCAATTGACTTCATGGCTCATTATAATCTACCCACTTCCTGCTGGTTGCTCTTTACTCCGCAGCTTCCTATGACCCGCTCTCCTTTTTTAACGATGTCCCACTAATCAAGCTATACTTTCTTAGTCAATTTTGCTGTCTGTTAGCTGTTCCTGGTCTCTCTCCTTTATTTCACAGCCCTGCAGACTGTTTTTAGCAAGTTTCAAAAGCTTGGATCCACCCACAGAGTCCTGTCTCCAGCAGCTAAGAGCCACTGACAGTTCAGCTGTGAAAGGGATAAAACACCAGTCGCTTTTGCCTAAGCAGGAAGGGGAGCCTGTGGGGGCAAGTGCTATGCAAGAACATATGGGCAAACATGATTTGTAAAAGGAAGTGCCTAAAGTTAGGCTTCTAAATCCAATCTTCAAGTGGCCTGACTTTCCAATTCACTGAGCAAGTAACATTGGGAAACAAACATCAAAAGAATTCATGGATGACAAAGCCTACTTGGTTGAGGCATGCAACACTAATGAGTTTTTCTGTATTGATTGAATGAAAATAATGCTTCATCTCTCTCTCTCTTTTTCTTTCAAAGCCAGGTCTTGTTCTTGGAGGACATGGATTCTTCTTCCAAACAATATCCTGTCAAAAAACGGGTGAAAATTCATCCCAACACAGTGACGGTGAAATATACTTCCCATTATCCTCAACCTGGAGAAGCGGATTTTGAAGAAATGAGTGAAGACTTTGAAAGCTTTGTGGAGGACAACCCAAAGAAAAGGCTGCTCAGCGATGTGAAAAGGAAAGGAAGAACCTTCTTTGGGACTATAGATATCCAGCCTTCAGCAGCACAAGAGCTGAAAACCAGTGAGACTGGACAACTGCAAAATTTTGCTGAAGGAGGCCTATTCCAGGATAGAAAGACTTGGATAGTGCTGTTTGGATCTGCCTTAGCGCATGGATGCGTCGCTCTAATAACTAGACTTGTTTCTGATCGTTCCAAAGTGCCATCCCTAGAACTCATTTTCATTCGCTCAGTGTTACAGGTGCTGTCTGTCATAGTTGTGTGTTATTACCACGAGGCCCCTTTTGGTCCAACGGGATACAGATTGCGGCTCTTCTTCTATGGCGTGTGCAATGTTATCTCCATAACCTGCGCTTACACCTCCTTCACTATCGTTCCCCCAAGTAATGGGACTATTATGTGGAGAGCTACCACTACTGTGTTTAGTGCCATTTTGGCTTTTTTACTGATAGATGAACGAATGGCTTACATAGATGTTGTTACAGTAGTTGGCAGTGTGTTTGGTGTCTGCCTGGTCATGATCCCCAACATTGTTAATGAAGAACACTCTTTACTCAGCATCTGGAAGGAAGCTTTTGGCTATACCATGATGGTTATGGCAGGCTTAACGACGGCTCTCTCCATGATAGTCTACAGGTCAATCAATGACAAGGTCAGTATGTGGACTGCACTGTTCACCTTTGGTTGGACTGGGACAGTGTGGGGAGCCTCCACCATGTTTTTTCTTCAAGAGCCAATCATTCCACTGGATGGAGAAACCTGGAGCTATCTCACTGCCATCTGCATATGTTCCACGATGGCTTTTCTGGGGGTCTATTATGCCCTGAGTAAATTCCACCCAGCTTTGGTCAGCACAGTGCAGCATCTGGAGATTGTGATAGTGATGGTTCTGCAGCTGGCGGTGCTACGCATCTTTCCCAGTATCTATGACCTGCTAGGGGGAGCCATCATTATGATCAGTGTATTTTTCCTTGCATATTATAAGCTCTCCTGGAAGCACTTAGGAAGGCAGGATTATCAGGAGATAATAGATTCTTCCATTAAATGAATGCCAGTTTGTTGTTGTCTTTACAATAACAGTTTCTGCACTGCCATGTGAAATTATTGTTTCCTTATCAGTGTCTTTTATACTGTGCCGTAGACCAAGTGCTGTCTTTCTAGTTCAAATATAATGGGCCAAATTCATACTTGATATAACTATGTTGCCATCCTTGGATCTATGTTGCTATCCATCTGGTTCTAATAGAGTTGCACCAGGAGGAAATTTGTTGTAGTGCGTAAGATCATTTAAAAATGTTCAACATGCAAACAAAGTTTTATTCTCAGCTGGTTCGTAGTAAGCGTTAAAATTAAGTATAGAGAACTCTGTTATGGGTGACCTTCCATTCTAGCCATTCTTGCATAGAAAAAATATTGAGATAGTAGGATTTAATGTTGTTCATCATTCTTGGGTGCTGCACCTGTAGAATATGTGGCGGTGAAATGAAATTCAGATATCAACTTTCACCACTGAGGCAGGAAGTTTGTGTTTCATGGTAACTTATACAATACTTGATTGTAATATTTTAAAGCTAAGAATTTTAACATGTACATGGTTATAATGATCACTTACATTCTTTACGTAACTGCAAGGAGAAGAGTCAATAAAGTGGTGTTCTTTGTGGCCTGCTAATGGAGCTCTGTCAGAATTTCTGTAAGAAGCCAATGCTCAAGACTATCCTTCCCATCTATCAAGATCCTTCTGAATTCTACTTCTATCCTCCAGAATGTTTGCAATCATTACATAATCATTTTGTAATAACAGATTAATAAACATGTTAAATAGCACTGGACCGAGGGCAGACCCCTGTGGAACCATGCTGGAGACCTCCTGCCACTGTGACATGGATCCAGTTATAATTGCCCTTTGCTTGTGGTTATAGAGCCAACTGTATAGTAACTATCTAGCCCACATTTCTTAACTTTGCTCATGAAAATGTTGTGTCAAAAGCTTTAATAATGTCCAACTACACTATGTCCATTGCATTCCTTTCATCCACACAGTTAGTTACTTTGTCAAAGAAGGAGAGCAAGCTGGATTGGCATGATATGTTTTCAACAATTCCATGCTGGCTGTTAGCAATCTATAAGGTACAACTTGACCTTGCTTTCTGCTAATGATCAGTCTTTTCCTCCTTTAAATCTTCTGTTAAGAGCTGACTATTTAACAATAGACCCACAGCTCCTTGGTCTTTCTCTTATGTCCAACTTATTTATAGAGCCCCTTTTTGTAGTCCTTCATTTCTTGGTAACTTGGAAAGGGATGACAGAGATAGAACCATATAAAATGAGGGTTGAAAGGGACCTCAGGAGGACACATCTAGTTCACCCCCTTGCTCAAAGCAGGACTGTCCCCAACTAGATCATCCCAGCCAAAGACGGAGGCAGGCAACATTCAATTCATCCTGTTCAAGTTGTACATGTAAAAGAATAGTGGCATAATGGTTAGGACACTCTAAACTACTCACTCCAGAGAAGGGACTACTGGGGTCTACATGTCTCCCAGGAAGTGTTTATTTAGCTAAGCTCCAATGCCAGGCAACCTGTGCAGCAGGGACTGGAACAGAGGACTACCTATACTCAACACAAGCCACTAAACTACAAAGCCATGCTCACTTTTATTCCCATTCTCTTTTCTTCAGCTCAGTGAAACTTTTTTCTGCTACATAATAACTGATATTTATTGGGTCAGACACCACATATCCCTCTTGCCCAGTCTCCTGTATTGCACAGCAGCAGAGACAGGGTGCTGAAAGACAGAGTGAACTGGGTCTGACCAGGGATTTTTCCCCCACTGTTCCTCTTGCATGCAGCATCCTGTGTTGAAGATCCAGGAAGTTCTGGTTCAGAGGCTGTGCCCCTCACTCCCATGCTCAATAGCTACTGATGCCCTTTTCCTCCAAGAATTTGCCCAGTCCCTTTTTGAATCTGGCTAAACTGTCAACTTCCACCATGTCTGGTGGCAACAAGTCCCCTGCTTTAATTACTACAAGGTGGAAGAGGTTTGAAAGAAGACTCAAGTGTTCCCCCTTCCCCATTTCAGATGCGCCTGTAGCCTGGGAGGAAGTGGGAAACAGGTGAGTCAACTCTGTTTAGCACAGGGGAGTCCAACCTTTCATAGCAGTGGGACAGGTGCTTGTGGCCTGGTTGCACCGTAGGCCACTGCAGCCCTCAGGTAAGGAAGTAGGGGGCGGAAAAGATGGAGGAGGGTGGTGGATGCTTGTATCAGAGGGAGGGGAAGGAAAAAAGCTAACTTCCAGGGGCAGTGGGGATCAGCAGAGTGGCACAGAACAAGGGGATGGGATGGGCCGAGCTGCTTGCTGCTGATCTTTTGTACCCCAGGCTGGATCTGACGCGTGGACCGTCAGTTGTGTACCACCAATTTGGCAGGAGAGAGATTTGAACCCTGGGTTCCTGTACTGTGGGCAAGCACTCTAATCACTGAGACCTTGGATAAGAAGGGGGTTTCACTAGCAGGTAATGATTGCTCAGTTGTGGAAAGAAAGAGCTTAGTTCATGAGTGTCAAGCTTGATTATTCCCATGGGCTGAATCCAGCTCCTTGCATGGCAGGGGCAGGGTAAACAGCAGTGGTGCAGGGGTTACTGCAGCCAACACTTGCCAGTGACCCGGCCCACCAGGGACTCTGTTGCTGGGAATTTAATGGCAGGACCTACCCCTGCTTGCCCTCTCCCAAACTGATGGCTCCTTTACCAGCCCTGCAGGCCAGATGTTTGACACCCCTGGTTTAGCTGCCTCTGAGTTACAAGTTTATGGAAGTACTTAAGCCTCAGGCGCAGTTTATGACATGCAGCTATCCTGTGTTTCCCTATCAGCTCTGAGCTCAGCGTGCTGACTTCAGGCCACTTCTGGCTCAATGTGCCATGCTGTATGGGTCCCTAACTCTCCACTTGGATTGTAGAGGCAACCTGGGCATCAAATTCAGGTCACACGTTGCAAGGCTTGGTATTGTAGCACCTAAATCCTTGGGATTTGACATTAGAAACGAGTTTCAGATGCTTTTGATACAAAATTGCTTGTAGCCAGGACTGTCATTGGCCTCACTTTTGTAACTAGTAAATCCATCTTGTTACCTGCTCAGATCCCCAAAAGCAGTGTTTGGTGTCCTGTAACACTGTTAATTTTTTCTTTTGTGGTGTACCTGCATCCTGTTATTTGGGAAATGGAATATTTGTCTCCTTCTCTAGCCCGTGCTGGCTCCCAAACGCATGTATTGCACCCAGCATGTGTTGTATGTCTCATCTAACACAACAACTGTATCTGGTTGTCACCTTCTGCCAATTGCCGCCCCCTTTCTGTTGAGTTTTCTGGCCACACCCCAAGGCTGAATATGCTTTGCTGATGAATCCCCAGTTCCAGCTGCACACATCACTGCTCCATATGATACCCTGCCCAAACAGCAACTATGCTATATAGCGCCTACTGCCAAATATCTCCTTGGCTAGGCTGGATTGCTCCCTTCTGTCTGTGGCTTCTCTGATGCTGGAGATTACATTAGATGAAAACTATGACTATTAACATACTTTGGGTAATTAGGGTAAGGTTTAAGTCAGTGAGGCAGGCAAACTTAACTGAATTTCCCATTCAAAGCACCACAGTTAAAAAAAAACAAAAAGAAAATAATCAAAGCCCTTTCACTTGCAAATGCTTAAGGGAGCCTTGCAGAGGTGTTTTGGTTCTGGCAATTCATTGTCTAGCTGCTTAGAGCCTTTAAAAGTCACACATGACTTCATTAACCTCCCTTGTTCCCTGCTTTTCTTAGCTGTCCTTGGAAGAATTGTGGAATTTTCATGTTACACCCTGAACATGCAGACTACACTTGCAGACTGTAAAAGGCTCTGATTTTAGGATAAAGAGTTCTTTTGCTGCACATGAAAGGCTTATTGCTACCCCAGTTTGATCTCGGAAACCCTGGCATGTCCTGCTGTCTCTGCCGCTAGAGCTGAAACTGCGTTTAGGAAGTTCCTGGTCTTACATGGCAGCAGCTGTGATCAGGAAGACAAAAAGGAGAGAAGCGGTTTCTGCCAAACTGATTCTGATGCCTTTGGAAGAGGGGTCAGAATTTGAACTCTGAATCTGGAATTAACCCCCCCACCCCTGTTTCTCAAGATCACCAAGAGGAAACTTGGCCCAGATATAACCATGTGGAGATCTCTGCCTGAAGTGATGGGAGAACCTTTGCAGCTATTTCTATTTGGAGTGTCTCTAAAAATCATTTTAAACTACTGTGGACTATACAAGTCATCTCCCTCCACAACTATAGTACTTTACGTGCACATGCACACACACGCAGCGCAGGAGAAACAAGTAGTTGGCAGAGTGATTCCAAGAAGGGCTCCACTGGAGAGGAACAGGAAACTTAAACAGGCTTTCTAGGAATCACAAACAATGCTTGTCTCTCACTTCTGTGCTTCGCTCTAAAGTGAAGCCTTGAGATGGGATGCTCAGATGAGCCTCTGGAGATAGCTTCACCTTCCCCTGTTGTCATCCAGCCTACGGAGCTTTTAACGTAGAGCCCTTTGAATAAGGACTAAAGCAGAGGTTCTCAACCCCATTAGACTCAAGGCTCCTCCTGAAATACCAGCTCTTGGCTTTCAGTCGCTATTTGACTGTGGAACAATATTACAGCAATTCTTCTGTTGCAAAGAACTCAGAAAGACTGCAACAGGTCAGAACATTTCTGACACTATGGGTTCGTATTTGAAGTCTCCAGGTTCGTCTTGAGACTCGCTTGCAAACGTTGGCACACCTAGCAGTGCCGATATTGTGTGGCACCCTTCAAAGGATCTCATGGCACCCTGGCTGAGATTTACTGGGGTAAAAGCAGCCCCAGGAGAAGGCCTATGGCAAGTAGCAGTGTAAATGGCCTCAGTCCCTGGATCTACAAAGAACTCGGGGTTGGGCTGTCTGCAGAGCACAAGTGCCACCTACTGGATAGTGTGGGGAAAGCTGCTTTGAAATGCAAAGGTAGAGGCCAGCACCACACAGTTGACTGGCACACAATGAAATCAAGAGGCAACATAATCCTCTAGGCTAGTGGTACCCAATTCCCACCCCGCCAATGTGGGCTGGATGAGCGGTACCAAGTCCCTCTGTGGGCTAGATCTGGCTGGTGGGTATGGAAAGGGGCAGATCCAACCTGTGGGGTGGGTGCAGCTGGAGCCTAATCCAGTGCACAGGGTAGGCACAGGTGTGGCTCTATTGGCTGTATGTCAGTGGCTCAGGGCACGATGGCTTCCCTCCACCCCCAGATCAGCACCCAAACCACCAAGCTTCAGAGTCAGGCTCACTTTTATTCCCTCTCTTTGACCCCAGGGATCTCAAGTCTCTTTCTTGTAGTTCTGAAAATAAATGCAGTTTGGGGTACTACTTATGGATTTTATTACAAATTAAAATCAACAAGCACATACGAAAACAAATAAAAATTCTAAATAAACTATCCACTATGCCCTTAACTAACCCAACTACATTTCAGCAATGCAGTCTTCAAATGAGTCTTATGGGATAGATTTTATTCCAATTATAACAAAAGTAAAGAAATGTGGAAGCAAGTCAGCACTTGATCAAATCATCAGATGAACAAATGTAAGGGAGATTCAAATCAG